GTAAATGGCCACAAGAAATGATTACATTGTACAGTGTTGAATATACTAATTTTGAGCATCACATATTACACACAGATATTGATATTCAATGCTGTACCCCACAGATATGTCCACTCAATTGTATCAATAAAATCAAGAAAAATCTAGTCCAAAAAAAAAAAAAAAAAGGCAGATTGTTGTTGACCCTTGTCTTACAAAGTGAAAACAGAGAACATATTTGCCATTATTAGCACCTTATTCAGGTTTCAGAGATTTTAAAACATGACAAATTATACATCTTAAAATCAACAAGATATGGTAAATTTACACCAGTAGAAGAATGGATGCATCTTTTTGAAATACTTATATGAATAAATACAACACAGTAGCTTAAATCAGTTAATCAGAACTATTCATCTCAATGTAGATAGATTTTAAAACCTAAGTTGAATGAACAAAAGCATTTCAGAATGTTACATAAAAGATGATACATGTATGTAAGTATAAAATGGGATGAACTCATACCACATTTTAAAATGATTAAAAACCTAAATTGTAAAAACTAATCAGAAAATTCGTAATAGAGAAGAATGGGTAGAAGTGGGACTGGGCAATGATGGTGATGGACTGCTGCTATATTACTTCTTTATTTCTTCTTTTTATGTTTTCTTTTTAATTTTTTTTAAATGGAGGTATAAATATATATCTGAAGATATAGCCAGATATGGTCATGGTTTATTCTATAAGGTGAGTGCAAACATGTTTGTTAAATGTTTTCTATAACATAATAATAATTTATAATCAAAAAAAGCAACAGGGCTATGGAAGTATTTCTTATTTATAAATTTTTATTTGCTATCAAAAGAAATGTGAACTCTGGAGGTGCAGTTTAAATTCTCAGTTAAGAGTATGACCAACAAGCTGTCTGAGTATACAATAATTGATGTTGATGAGTCAGAAACATAATCTTAGTTTTTTTTTTCCAAATGAACATTTTGTATTATGACTAGCTTATTCTAAAGAAAAAATAAATAACAAGCGATAGACTTCATAAAATACCTAACAGATCTATTAGAAGACCTAAGGTTGTATAAAACAGGGAATTGTTCTAAGATCAATGTGAGAGTTTGAAACCAAATAAAAACTGACACAATTTTCTGATAAAAACTATTGCCCTCAACAACTTCACAGGTCATTAAATAGTTACTGTTCATTGCTAACACATGACTGGCCAAATTCCAGCAACAATGGCTATCAGTGTTCTAGTTATTTGATAACTTCCCTCATCAGCCTCAGGGGCTTTGAGGTTTTGTTACTTTGCCTTATTTTACAAGGTATACAGAATCTCATTTCATCCCTTTCTCATTTCTTCTGATAGGCTTAGGATAAGATGAAAGGACCTAGATGTGTCCTGGACATCTGGTTCATATATCTCCAAGGGGAATGCTTTAGTGATAAACTCCAGTAAAATACACATCAAGGCTATTTTTAACATAGACCCTGCTGAACCGTCTTCCAGGAACTCTCCACATTTTGCCATCTTTGAAACAAACATGCTGAACTCCTCCTAAAAAGTGATCATTTCCCCCTTGTACTAATTCTAGGAATAACTATACGATGGCTTAATGCAAATATTATTCGATTCAGAACATAATAGAGATAAAAAGTATGAGTTGGACATCATCATATCTTTCAGCAAAAGAAACTTCTTAAAACTCAACTTTGATTACTCCAAGAGTAAGGATTCTTTTTATACCACTGAGAAGTGGATTGCAAATAACCCAAAACTAGCTTAATAAATACAGTATTTGAATAAACTTTTCAGTGTCTGGTTAATAAGGATTGTTAGGAAGAACAATTACAAATAAAAGAAAAACACTCCACTTCAGTTAAGTTTGGTGAGCAGTCATATGAAACAAACGTCTTATATTACAAGTAGAGGTATTATAAACTTCAAGGTTTATTATAAATGTCACATTATTTTAATTAAAAACAAAATAAAACTGAGTTTAAACTCTCATGGGAAGACCTAAACTTAACTGCATCATTTCTGGTAATGAGGCAGATTTGGGAGGATAGTACACCAAGCACAGCTTGAAAAGGACAAGACAGATTATGGAAATCTGGAAACCCGCCTCCATCTTTGCAGATCCCAGGCTCTTCTTTGATGTGGCCTGAAGCAGAACACCTTACAGGTAATGAAAGAATCACAGGTTTTCCACTCTCAAAACCATTTAAGTGCTTCTTTGAAAGGTGCAGTCTGATGACTTGATCATTCTTAACTCTGAAGATACGGCTATAAAGGGCGACGGGGATGGGCCATAGGGAGTAATTGGTAAGGGACACAAAAATTAATTATGATTTGCAATGATGAACATACTCATAATATTGATTTGATCATCACATACTGTACACAAATACTGACAGTCAACTCTGTACTCCATAAATATGTATAAATAAAAAAATACGATTTTTTTCTAGTGGGACACAGAATATTGTTTATCCCATTGTGTTTCCTTGTTTTTATTTATTTGTTTACACAGTCATATATATATCAGGTAGCCCAACTGTGAAACACTTCAGATATTTTATTATTTATTTATAATACTTTAATACATTATCTGAATTTGTAAAATTTATTTTTAATGTGTATAAGTATATATGATTTTATATAATAAATATTGCACTATTATGCTATTTCTAGTTTATGACAATGGTGGGAAAACTACATAAGTATTGTTGAATGGGAACATATGAGTTAAATTGTAAGTTTCTCTTTAGAAAATTTTAAACATACGGAAAAGTTGAAAGTACGAAAAGCCTTATATCTTTCACTAAGATCCATTAATTGTTATCATTTAAAAATGTTTGCTTTCTTTTTCTCTCTCCAACTCTCTCTCTCACACACACTTTTTCTTGAATAATCTGAAAGTTGTAGACATCATATTTCACTTCTAAATACTTTATCATAAATAGCAACCTTGTAAGAAAAATTTCTATGTAACTAAAATAACATCATCACAAGAAAAAAAAATTAAATTCTAGATTTAAAATCCATCCACCTTTACGTTCTTCAAGTTCCCCAAGTGTCCCTCAAATGAATTACCTTATTAACCAAAACCCAATTGAAGATTACTTGCTAGATTTGGTTTTTATATCTCTTTAAATTCTTTTCACCTAAAACCATTTCTCTGCTCTAAAATATTAATTTTTTTCAGAATTGAGACACTCCATTCTAAAATTTGTGATTGCTATATTCACTTGTTCTCAAATAATTCTTTTAATCTAGCAAGATTACTTTCCAGATCATCTTAACTATCATATTTGCATGACATATTTTTTAAACTTTAAAAACTTCCACTGGGCTCTCACTATAGTAATGGCTTTGCATTTACATACCTTTTAAAAATGCTGTGAAAAAATTCTTTTTTTCTTTTTACCAAAAGATTCTTTTGGCTGTATTTTTTATTAGGTCAATGGGAGGTTCTATTGATTTGTGGGTGCTGAGGACATGAGTTGATTATGAGTTTAATTGTATAACCTTATCAAAAATCACTACTATAGACAGCAGCACACAAGCTGGCCTATAACAATAATAGTGTGAGTCAGGTCTGTCAAAATTCCCAGCCTAGCATTTCCCTGCACTGGCCAATCTGAACCTGAACCACAGTGTTATTATAAGCCACAAAGCATTCTGCTGTGATTTGCCAAATTGCCAGCTCGGCAGTAACCTGATTGAAGGAACTTTTCTCAGTACAGTCACATGGAGGTGGCCATCCACCCAGTTAAAAATATAATGAAAATGGCTTTTCATCTACAGCCAAATGACAGTCCTACAAGGGAGCTCATGAGCAGCCTAAAACTAGTAAGCATCTAGATGAAGGAGGTCTGACTTGTATGCAATTTCACACAAAGCCTGCTCTGATCCTTCTTTAACCTTTATTCATTCTTCTTTCAGCCTGGCATCATCTGACTGTAGTCTTTGCTTTATGTTTGCTCATGCCTCTTAGTCTATTGCATTGTTACTATGCTTCAGGAAACCTCCATCCCTCAGAAGATCCACAAGGCAAGTCCATTTATCTAACCTTTCTTAAGATCGTGGCTCATTTATTCATTGGTTGAATTATTCTGAATTTTCTTCAAAACTAGCTACCATGTCTAACCAACAACGATGAGCCATCACTCCTACTCTTAGTTTTAGTTTCTTCTATGACCACAACTGTCTGTGATACTTATAATTCTTGTAACTCACCTCCACTTAAAGCACAGAATTAATTAAACCTATTAGACAAGGTAGAAATAAATATATGTTTTTCTACAAAGACGAGTTTTTGAGAGATCATCCAGAACTCCTTCTTTGGATGTTCACCTTAAGCAGTTTAGTAACACATCTTATGCCATAGGACCCTGACAAGGAGGAGGCAGAGGAAAGAGCAAAATTCACCCATTTCTGGGAATAGTGCTTTCTTGCTAATGGGGAAAAGACAATATCTGTGGGAATTCCCAGCCTTTGCCAGGAAGAGTCTCCTCCTAGTGGCATAATTCTCCTTGAAGCAATGCCAAGCCCTTCTCCTGACACCTGTCCTGCCTACAAATTCCTGTTATTTATTAATTTTAATGCTCCTCCCTCAGATTCTCTTACAAAAGCCCAGTCTCTCCTGATCCAACAAACCATCCGAGAGCTCTGCAAAACAGGTACCTGGGAGCTGCTAGAAGATGAGATTGATGGCAGGGGTTTTATGTCACACATTGGAAGGGAAGGTATAGGAGGGTTCCCATCCTCAGAGAACAAAGGAGCTCTGACACTCAGCAAAGGCTGCCCCGGGAGGTTTCAGGGATATTAGGGTATACAGATTCCCTAATTGAATCCTGAGCTGTAGAAGGGGATGGATGTGGTCAAAATCAACTTATTTCTAGGAGACTAGACAAAGGAGACAACAAGTGGCAGTGGGGTCTCTGCATGTCCTCTCTGACCACACCTGCTTTGGTGATCTCTGCTGACCTCCTCAAGGCACAGACACAGTGCTGCCCCCCATGGCCCTCACCAGCATGTCCTGGGTGCTGCTCTCCTGCCTGATGCTTCTCTCTCAGGTCCAAGGTGAGACTTTTGCCTCTAGCACTGGGTCCCCTGTGAATATGCTGAGCCGAGAAGAGGAGGAAGGGCCCTGTGTGCTGCACGTGGTGTGGTGTGTTGTGTCCCCACACAGGGGAACTGCCTGCCTCTCCTGCATCATCACTCATGCCTTCAGGTTAACCAGGGCTGGGAGGCAGCACACGGGTCCATTCACAATGGGGTGAGATGGCTTCCCCTTTTGCCAGGGGATTGGTTGAAGAGGGAAAGTGTGAAGGTCCAGTCATGAGATGTGGGGAGGCAGAATGATTGGAGGAAACAGCATGAGACAGTCAGGCCAGAGTGGAGGGAGTGTTGGACTGTTGAGTAAAGGGGAAGGGTAAAAAGAAAGGAGATCCCCACCTACTAGGGCTGTTTCAGGATGAAGAATTGCCAGAACTGTGAGCAAAGGCAAGAGGTAGTTATTAGTGTCATCTTACACCCCAAGGACAGGCCTTCTGGATAAGCCTCAGGGCCACCTCCCCACCCCAATTCCCACTGTTCATTTCTCCCCATCCTTCTCCTTTGTCTCCTCCCCACCCAGGTGAAGACGCCCGGAAGGAACTGCCCTCTGCACGGATCAGCTGTCCCAAAGGCTCCAAGGCCTACGCCTCCCACTGCTATGCCTTGTTCACGACACCAAAATCTTGGGTGGATGCAGATGTGCGTGGTTAAGTGTGGGGTTGGGGTGATAGGGGAAAGTGTATGTGGTCTCAGTGGGAAGAAGGCTGAATTCTAGAGAGTTCCTTGCAAAGGGAAATAAACACCCTAAACTCCCACACAACCCCCCTCTCACCTATCTCTGCCCTGCCCCTCCCTCAGTGAGGTCGCAGACCCCCTCTCATTTTCTCACTCCCCCTCACAGCTTGCTTGCCAGAAGCGGCCCTCGGGACACCTCGTGTCTGTGCTCAGTGGGGCTGAGGCATCCTTTGTGTCCTCCCTGGTCAAGAACACTGTGAACACCTTCTCCTACATCTGGATTGGGCTCCATGACCCCACGCAGGTGCAATTATATCCTGTTCTCTCTGTTACCTTTCAAGTGGCTATTGTCACCCAGTCCCACTCCCTACACCTGGTGCCTGTTAGGGAGTACCCCATGGAGCAGTGGCGCTCAGATTCTGGGGGATGTTTGAGGGAAAGTGAAATCCTTGAGGCCAGCTGAAAAGCCGAGTTCTGTGGAGATCTCTGGTCTTCAATGAAGTTAATATGCCTCTTGACAAGCTCAGTACAATTCTCACATGAGCTCCATTAATTTAGTTCTCTGAGCATCGTGATTCTTGAGCATTCTATTCTGAAGGAATCCTATACGAAGATAAGATCCATACAGAATAGCACTGTCTTTGAGATTCAGAGGCTAATGACAAGTCACCACCAATTATTGTTCAGCAAGTAACAGACTACTTTGAGTGGTTCCGCTAGCATTTGCTAGTTGGCTTTGGGATTTGTTAATAAGAGCAAGGAGTTAGAAAGAGCTTCCCAGTGGAGAGGGNTCAAAGCCAAAACCACAGAGGAAATGATTTAGAGAGCAACTTTGTGGGACTTGCCTCTGCCTCATTTCTCGCAGGCCTCTAGGAAAAATGACTTAATATGAATCCTTACCACCATATTGTGATGAAGGTGTGGGTCCTGCTTATGTAGGATTTGGGTTGTGGGCAGAATACATTGGTCCTGACACATTCACTGCCCACACATTCTCCCAGCCCAACTCATTGAGAGTGTGACACAAGCAGCCTTAGGAGGCTTTGAAGATGCTGTTTGGAACAGCACTTTTCAGAGAGAGACATCAGCAAGGTGGCAGGATGGGACTTTTCAGCACTTGTTCACTCATAGAAACTTCAATTTAAACAAGTCTCCCTAAATACAAATACCTTCAGAAAAGCTAGGGAATCCAGGTGACCAATTACAGCATCTGGGTGTAGCAAGAAATATAAAAAGATACTTTGCCATTGACCCCAACACTGGGCCTGCCCCAGTAAAACACAGTGCCAGGCAGGCCCCCATGGCTCCAGACTCCAGGCTAGTACCTCTTGAATGAGACTCCAGGACTGCCCCCATGTCAGGCCAGACCACACTGTCCCAGGTTCCAGGAATCCCCCCATAGACCTAGGATCCAGGCCAATCCCAGTGACCCTAGGCTCCAGTGTGGCCCAGAGGCCTCAATCTTCTGGTACCCCCTAGTACCAGGTCACCCTCCACATTTCTAGACACTAAGCCAGTACCCACAGACTGAGCCTCCAAACCTGCCTCAAGGCCAGGTTAGCCCTTGAAGCCCCAGGATCCAAGGGAGTTTCACAGACTCAGTCTCTAGGCCTACCACACCACCATGGAGGCCTCTGCAGTCCTATACACCAGGCCTGCCCACATGGTCCCAGCTTTCAGGCACACCCCAGCTCCAGTTCAGCCCCTACAGCCTCAGAATTGCCATCACCCACAGCCCAAGCCATTAGGCAAGCCACCATGAACATAGGCTGTTGGGCATGCTTCTGTGTATACAGCCTCCAGATCTACCTCAGAGCCAAGTTGGCCCCCATGACCCCAGGCTTCAGGCCAGCCCCCACAGACCTAGACTTTAGGCCTGCACCTGTAAAACCAACATTCATACCAGACTCCACAAGCCATGGAGTTAGGCCCTATGGCTCCAGGCACCAGTCCAGTACCTACAGACATAGGATCCAGGTCAGCCCTCACAGACCTTGGACTCTGGTATGCTCCCATGGACTTAGATTCCAGTTCCACCTTAGGCAAGCCTGCCCTCACAGTCCCAGTTTCCAGGCCTACCCCAGTAGACCCAGTCAATAGGTTTACCCCAGTGGACCCTGGCACCAGGCCCAACCCTGCGGACCGAGGTACAGGTACCAGGCCAGGCTGCAAAGGACTCCAAAATCAACGTCCCAGTTTCCAGGCCTACCCCAGTAGACCCAGTCAATAGGTTTACCCCAGTGGACCCTGGTACCAGGCCCAACCCTGCGGACCGAGGTACAGGTACCAGGCCAGGCTGCAAAGGACTCCAAAATCAAGCATGCCCACAGACCACACAAGACAACTTGCCCAGAATCTCTGAACAGGCTGAAGACAGTCTGTAAAGACTGGAATAAGTGCTTACTTTTTCAAAAGCTCATACACCAACACATTGCCAGAAGATGATGAATAGAGAAACGTGATATCGCCAAGGGAACAAATAGAGCACCAGTAACTAACCTGAAAGAAACTGAGTTTATAAACCACCTGACAAACAATTCAAAATAATCATCTCAAAAACACACTATGAGATACAACAGAATACAAATAGACTATTAAATAAAAAAAGGAAAATAATACATGAACAAAGTCAGACATTTAACAAAGAATCAAAACCATAAAAAATAACAGAACAGAAATTCTGGAGCTAAAGAATGCAATGACTGAAGTAAAACATTGCATAAAAAGATTCAACAACAGTCTTAATCAAGCAGAATAAAGAATCAGTGAACACAAAGTCATAGGAAAACACACACACCCAAAGGATAAAAAAGAGTGAAGAAAAGCTATGGGAATTATGAACCTCCATAAAGAAACCAATATACACATTATTGGTGTTTAAGAAGGAGCAGACACAGAAAAAGGTGTAGAAATCTTATATAGGGAAATAGTGATGAAAAACTTCCCAACTCTGGAAAGGAAAATAGATATCCAGATTCCTGAAGTTCAAAGAACCGCAAATAGATGAAATATTAAAAGTTCGTTACCAAAACACATGGTGATCAAATTCTCAAAAGTCAAAGAAACAAATGAATTTTGGAAGCAGCAAGAGAAAAGTAACATGTCACATACAGGAAATATTTATAATATTATCAGTGGATTTCTCAGCAGAGGCATTGAAGGCCAGGAGAGAGTAGGATAAAATACATAAGGTACTAAATAAAAAAAAAAAATCAAAAACGGAAAAACTGCCAAGCCAGAGTACTACACCCAGCAAGACTGTCCTTCAGAAATGATGAAAAGGTAAGGACTTTAGGCCAATAAAAGCTGAGGAAGTTCATCACCACTAGATCTGCCTTACAAAATTGTTAAAGGGACCTCTTCTAGCTGAACAAAAAGGATGACAAAGACCATGAAATCATCTCAATAAATAGAGAAAAAGCATTTAACAAAATTCAGCACCCTTTATGATTAAAAACTTTAAGCAATTAGGTATGTACCTTAGCACAGTAAGGGCCATATATGACAAGCTTATGGCTAACATCATTCTCAGTGGTGAAAAGGTAAAAGTTTTACCTCCATGTTAGAAACAAGACAAGTATGCCTACTCTTGCCATTTCTCTTCTATATAGCACTGGATGTTCTAAGCAGAGTAATCAGGCAAGAGAAAAAAAATAAAAGCACTCAAACTGGAAAGCAAGAAGTTAACTTGGCTTATTTTGTAAATGTGATCTTACACACAGAAATGCCTAAATACTCTGCCAAAAAACTGTTAGAACTAATAAATGAAAGCAGAAGTTTCTGGTTATAAAATCAACATATAAAAATCAGTAGTGTTTTTATACACTAACAACTCTAAAAAATAAATCAAATCCCACTTTCAATAGCTAAAAAAATTACTTAGGAATAAGTTTAACCAAGGAAATGGAAAATCAGTACAATGATAACTATAAAACATTGATAAAGGAAATTGAAGAAGACACAAATAAATGCAAAATTTCCCATATTCATTGATTAGTTGAAACAATATTATTATAGTGTTCATACTTCCAAACATTATCTGCAGATTCAGTACAATTCCTATCAAATTTTCAATGACATTTTTCATAGAAGTAGAAAAACAATCCAAAAATTTGGATGGAACCACAAAAGACCCCCAAAATTCAAAGCAGTTCTAGGCAAAAAGACCAAAGCTAGAGACATCATACTACCTATTTTTGAAATATACTACAAAACTACAGTAATTAAAATAGCATGGTACTGGCATAAAAGCAGACACATAGACTTATGAAAGAGTATACAGAGCCCAGAAATAAATCCATGCATTTATGGTCAATGGATTTTTGACAAAGATGCCAAGTATAAATAATGGTAAAAGGATAGTCTCTCCAATAAATGGTATTGGGAAAACTGTATATCTATATGCAGAAGAATAAAATTAGATCCTTATCTCACACCATATACAAAAATCAAGTCAAAATAGATTAAAGACTTGAATGTATGAACTGAAACTGTAAAACTGCTATAAGAAAACATGGGGGAAAACTCCATGACAGTGGTCCAGGCAATGTTGATTTTTAGATGTGATCCCCAAAGCACAGGCAACAAGCAAAAGTAGACAAATAATATTATATCAAAATAAAAACTCTGGACAGCAAAGGGAACACTTATCAGAGTGAAGAGAAAACCTATGGAATAGGAGAAAATATTTGCAAACCATAGATCTGATAAGTGATGGATATCCAAACTATATAAGAAACTTAAACAATTAATAACAAAAAACCAAATAATACCAAATAATCCATTTATAAAATGGGCAAAGAACCTGAACAGACATTTTTCAAAAGAAAATACAAGTGCACAAACATATATTTAAAAAAGCTTAGCGTCATTAATGATTAGAAAAATGCAAATTAAAACCACAATGTGATATCACCTCACACCTGTTAAAATGGCTACTATCAAAAAAAGGTGAAAGATAGCAATCGTTAGTGAAGATGTGGAGAAGGGAATTCTTGTACAGTGTTGGAGGGAATGTAAATTAGTTTAGCCATTTTGGAAAATGATGTGGAGGTTCTTCAAAAATTAAAAATTCAACTACCATATAAGCCAGCAATCCCACTGCTGAGTATATACCCAAATGAAATTAAATCAGTATGTCAAAGAGATTTCTGCATTTGCATGCTCATTACAGAATTATTCGTTCATACCAGTCAAAATATGGAATCAAACTAAGTGTCCATAAAAAGATGCGTGGTATATAAACACATTTTAATTATCTGGTATATATACACAATAGAATACTATTCACCTTT